ATTTAAAGAGGATTTTATGAATTTGACCTCAAAGGCAAGGGAAGTAAAAGCAAAAATAAATGAATGGGACTACATCAAACTAAAAAACTTCTGCACAGCAAAGAAACCAACAATAAGATAAAGAGGTAACCATCTAAACAGGCGAAGATATTTGCAAACAATGCCTACGATAAGGGGCTAATACTTACTAAAATATATAAAGAACTTATACCACTCAACAATAAAAAACAAACATTCCAATTAAAAAATGGGCAGAAGACCTGGACAGACACTTCTCTCAAGAAGGTATACTAATGGCCAACTTACATGTGAAAAGATGTTCAACTTCACTCACCATTAGGGAAATGCAAATCAAAACCACAATGAGATACCACTTCACATCTTAGAATGGCTATCATCAATAACAGGACAAGTAATAACAAGTGTTGGAGAGAATTGTGGGGAAAGAGAATCCTCATACACTGCTGGAAGGATTGTCAATTGGTGCAGTCACTATAGAAAATAGTATAGAGGTTCCTCAAAAAATAAAAATAGTTACCATATGACCCAGCAATCCCTCTTCTGGGCATTTACCACCACCACCCCAAACTGAAAATGTTTATCCATAAAGATATTTGTACGCTGATGTTCATAGCAACATTATTCACGGTGACCAAGACATGAAAACAACCAAAGTGTCCTTTAATACATGACTGGATAAAGAAGATGTAGTATATACACACAATGGAATATTATTCAGCCATAAGAAAAGATGAAATACTTCCATTTGCAACAACATGGATGGATCTTGAGATTAGATGCTAAGTGAAATAAATCAGTTAGAAAAAGTTGAGAGCCATATGATTTTACTTACATGTGGGATGTAAAACTGAAAGCAACAAAAGAACAAAACAGAGACTCATGGACCCAGTTTAGTGGTTACCAGAGGAAAGGGAGGGAGGGAGGAAGGTAGATAAGGGAGGGAAAAAGATATCCTAGAGGAAGTACCTAGATAGAGAGAGAACTCTAACGATAATCTGAATAGTTCTATATCTATAAAGATATTGAATTCACAGTTAAAATCTTTCCTGTAAAGAAAAACCCAGGCCCAGATGTCAACGGTGAATTCTAGAAACAATTAAGGAAAAAAATAATATCGATTATACACAAACTTTTCTAGAAAATAGAAGAGAAAACATTTCTCAACTCATTCTATGTATTACCCTGCTACCAAAACCAAACAATGACATTACTAGAAAACTTTAGACCAGTATCTCTCATGATTATAGACACATAAATCCACAAAATTTTGGCAAATCAAATCCGGCAATATATAAAAAAGACACATTATGACCAAGTAGGGTTTATCTTGGAATGAAAGGTTGGTATAACACTGGAAAACAGTGAACTACATAATTTACTTTATTAACAGATTACAAAGAAAACTGTATGTTTATCTCAATAAATGCAGAAAATTCATTTTACAAAATTCAATTCCCATTCATTATAAAAATTCTCATCAAAAAAGGAACAGAAGGGAATTTCCTCAACCTGGTAATGGGCATCTGCACAAATCTAAAGCTAACATTATACTTCATAGTGAAAGACTGATTGGAAGGGAACAAAACAAGGACATCTATCTGTTCTCACGTCAACATCGTACTAGAGGTCTAAGCCAGTGCAGCAAGGCAAATAAAAGAAATAACACAGCCAGACCGGAAAAGAAGAAGTAAATCTCTCATTCACAGATGACATAATCCTGCATGTAGAAAATCCACGGAATCTACAATAAAACTAGAACTAATTTGTGAGTATGAATTTAAGATCGCAGGTACATGGTCAATATAAAGGGTCAATTAGATAACTATAACCTTGCGATGTACAAATAAAAATTGAAATTAAAATTCTATTAACATGAGGTATCCAAATTTGTCAAACTTATAGAAACAAAGTAGAATGGTAGTTACCAGAGGCTGGGGGTGGGGATAGGAGTGCAGAGTGGTTGTTTAATGGGTATAGCATTTCAGTTTTGAAAGATAAAAGTTCTGGGAATTGGTTGCATAACAATGTGACTATACTTAACATTAACAAACCGTACACTTAAAAATGGTTAAGATAGTAAATTTCATATGATGTGAATTTTACCACAATAAAAAAAATACAATTTCATAATTGCGATGACTTAGAATGAGCAAAAAAATTGAAATTAAAAAACATTAACTTTATAATAGCATAAAATATATTAAATCCTTAGGAATATATTTAACAAAAAGTATATAAGAGACTAACAAACTGTACATTTAAAAATGGTTAAGATAGTAAATTTCATATGATGTGAATTTTACCACAATAAAAAAAATACAATTTCATAATTGCGATGACTTAGAATGAGCAAAAAAATTGAAATTAAAAAACATTAACTTTATAATAGCATAAAATATATTAAATCCTTAGGAATATATTTAACAAAAAGTATATAAGAGATATATACACTGAAAACTGTAAGACATTGGTGCAAAAAATTAAAGAAGACTTAAATGAACAGGGAAAAATGATGTTCATAGATTAGTAGTCCCAATATTGTTAAGATATCGGTTCTTCTAAAATTGATCCACAAATTCAACACAATCACAATCTAAATCCAAGCAGTTGTTTTATTGAAATTGGCTAGCAAAGGGAGAAAAGGGAAGGGGGAAAAATACAAACAAATAAAATGTTAAAAAATAATAATAATAAAATAAAATAAAGCCAAACTATAATCTAATTTAAAAAAAAAAAGTTTTACACTAAGTGTAAAGCTAGACACAAAAGACAACATACTATAGGATTATATTTATACGCAAGTCTAGAAAAAGCAAATCTATAGTGACAGAAAGCAGTTCAGTGGTTGCCAGGGTCCAGGGTATGGGGGTCAGCATTGACCACGAAGGGGCACAAAGTAACTTTTAGCAGTAATTGGAATGTTCTATAGCATATACATTTGTCAGAACTCAGGGAAATGTATACCATAAAATTCTTAATTTTTTAAATGCAAATTTAGCTCCATAAAACTGATTTTAAAAAATTGGCGAAGATGCAAATTGGCCATTAACAAAAGAAATTCAAGTGATAGATGAAAAAAAATTAACTTTAATAGTAATAAAAAAAACCCAATACTATCATTTTTTCAACAAGTTAATTGATTAAAAATTGTAAAAATGATTACAGTATCAGTGAAGGGTACCTGAAAATAGACATTCTTATACATGGCTGGTGGGAGACTACAAGGGTATAACTTTTCTGAGAAATAGAAATATGTTTCAAAAGCCTAAAAATATTCAAATCTTTTGATCAAGCAATTTGAATTCTAATAATTTATTCCAAGGAAATAACCAGGTAGTACGAAAAAATTATAAACAAACATGTTTCTATAGCACTGTTTATAGAAGTTGATTGAAATGTTTCCTTCAAAGGATGGAATATTATTTGGTCATTAAAATACACACATACATGCAGACATTCTCCTGGACGTAAGTAGCAACTGATTCTACCTAAGTAATTAACACTAACAGCCTGTCACTGACAAAAAAGAAGCCTAGGATTTTGGATAAGTGAAGTAGACATATATACGACATCATAATGTCACAAAAACTAGTGTTATTCTATACCTTTATATCACCATCAATTGTTTCCCATTCTTCTGCTGTAAAACTGGATGCTGTAGCTGCAGGTTTATCTTTCCTCAAAGCTCTACTTTCAGGAGCCAATCCTTTAAGGCGCTTTTCACAAAATTCTGTAAGTTCAGGATAATATCCTTCCTCACCAGACCTTTAAAATATTGCAGAGTTGTAGAGTTATCACTCTGTTTAGAGAGCATCTAGACTAGCGATTTGCAAGCTGGGTTCTGTGGAGCCCAGGGGTTCTGTGGAGCCCACGGGTTCTGTGGAGAGCTCAAGGACTCCACTCGCACAAGGTGGAAGGTGGGCCTACGGCTTCCCACTCACCATCCTCAACCAGCACAACCTCCATTAGCATCTGTCAATGTACACAGTGATGCAACGAAAGGAAAAAGGAGCTCCGAAGACACAAATTTCTATCACATGCTTTAAAAATTGAATAAATAATGTTATCTCTCTTTAATACATATGTTTATTTTGTACATAAGGTAATTTTAAACTTATAAATTATTTTATAAGTTATAAGAGAGAGGCAGAAAGTGAGACTTTGGACTTCCTTTCTGAGGAGACATTTCTGGCTATTTTCGTTTTCGAAAAGATAAGAAGAAAATGGCAGAGAAACAGTTTAGAACAACATACCTCTAAATTCAACTACTCAAAGAAGAGAATTCCTTTCTTAGAGAGTTAAATAGAACCATCTGTTCTTGTCTGTTTTTTAAGGAAAACCAATCTTTTGCCCTTCTTTTATAAGTCTGTACACTTTATAATTTTTAGAAAAGGAGGAATAAATCCCATTTTCAAATTAAATTAAAAAAATAACTCCAAGTCAATGCAATATACTTAAATTATTCATAGAATTTCTTAGAACCAACATTATTACTGTGGCTTCCAAAGTCATCACATAAACTTCTCACTTCTTTATTGATCCCTGACCAAATATAAATGAAAATGTTCTTATACTGCAGAGAAAAGCAAAAAAGAAAATGGTGATATGATGTTTCATATTTCCATTTCAGAAATGATGAGGTTATCATATCAACTCTGGCTGGGAACAAGCAGGATGCTTAGGGAAGACAGGACTTTAAAGGTGATGAGAGAAAAAGCAAAGGACACAATGGAAAGGAAGGGGGTCAGGTAGAAGAAAAGAGAGAGCCACTGCAGAGCAAAAGGAATCCTAGCGATGTCCTGGAAAGGAGCAGTTCATGCTCCACAACTGCTTCTGCAGTATTAGGCTGCTCTCTAAATGAAAACCCCTCAAGAAACCAGAAATAGGTGACACGGGGCAGTGTTTTTTGAAGTGGACTCCCTTGACCACCTGCATGTCAATCAGCCAGGCGCTTATGAAAAACATATGTTCCTGGGCCCCACTCTAGATTTCCTGAAGCAGAATCTTGGGGGGATAGGACTCTCAAATTTGCACTTTTCACAACCACATTTGATGTATATTAAAGTTGAACAATCACCAACACGGGGCTCTTACCCAGAGAAGACCCTGATTTCCTGCCTTCTAGTCCTACCTTCTCTCCTGCCCACCATCCTCCATGTGACCAGCTCACACTGAGTCATCCACCTTTATTGGCAGATGGTTGGAAGTGGGAGAGTGCCAAAGAACTTTTTCAGCTTAGGCTGGTGAGCTAACCTTACCTCCTACTGGCTATTCTCACAGCTACTTTTTCCTAGAAAATGTGGAGGAAAAATGCCCTCTTGAATACTAAATTAGCCTAAGTCGCATGCAGGAAGTAGATCTAGCCAGAACCAATCAATCTAACCACAGGATCAAAAACACTATTTTAGAATCTAACATGGGCAAATACAACAGACAATCTCAACATATGAGAATTTTCTCCAATGTTTCTAATGTAGCGTCAACTTACAGAAGGAATAGAATTAAAATTTGCATATTAAAACATGAATTTTAAATGCTTACCTGAGCACACAAAGAATTTTTTCCAAGTGCTTAATATCTGAACATTTTTCAATATACTTGAAATCCAAGTGCTCAACAGGAATTTTGAATGTTTTTGTTTTTCCAAAGCCCCACAATGATGGATAATCTTTGGCAGTCATGGCTGAAATATAGCATAGGAAAACAGTTATGAATCTAATATATAGAATACTCAATTTGGATAATAGAAATCATCTAGGTACTCTGTAACTTGTATTTTTCATTTCTATAGAAAAGGAGGTGGAGTGTTTTTTTCCAAGGAGGATGCCTACTCATTTTAAACTCTCTCTCCCTAATAAGAACAGTTAACATTCATGGAGCTAAATGACTGTACCATACATGAATTATCTCACTTAACTGTCACTTTAGCAAAGTTGAAATACGACAATGCAGGTTTTGGTGCTATAGAGAGAGAAAAACTTCTCTTCTACCCATTTAAGTTCAGTAACTGAGGCTTGCAAATTAAACTGATGAAACATCATTAACAGGAGGGGCTTCACGAAAAAGTAAAAACCCAAAGAAATGTTTGGCCTGGGAGCCTTTTACTATTTTAACGAAGGGTGATAAATTGTAGAAAAATGATTAGACAAAGGAAAAGGGGTTTGGGCTTTTAAGAGAAAATAAATATCTGGAAGAAACTAATGAAAGGGTTATTTTAGTAAGATTTGTTTGTGCAGACTCATCTCAGTGCCGACTGTCCCTTTACAGTGATAATGGATGTTCTCCTCCTCCTGGGCGGCCGGGGGACATTTCACAGAGTGAAATTTATGCCCTTTTAGGCAGAAAGGGGAGAGCAGAGAGTTCTTCCTATTGTTTGATTTCTTCAGCTCAAAATAATCCTTATGCCAAAGTGGCCTATTTAGGGGTTGGCATATTCCGATGCGCTTTAGTACTCAAACTGCTTTTCAGGATGTTTTTTAATGTTGATTTGAATGACCTTTTAACTTTAGCTGTTAACATCTCAACCATCCTTCCTGATTCAGAACAAATATAAGCAACATTCTTGCTATAACTCTCCTTAACATCACCCTTTTCCCCATTCCCTGAAGCCCACTTTGATCAATGAACAGCCCCCAGATGTGTTCTAATGGCACTCTGTACATACTTCTCTCATAGCAAGCACATAGCGCATATTCTAATTGTTTCTCTGTCTCTTCCAGATTGTGCGAGATCTTACTTTACTCATCTTCGTATACTTAGGACTAACAGAATCAGTAGTATCATATTCCTCTGAACTGAGTTGGGAATAGGAGGCCATGAACAGTTTCATTCTAATGATACTGCTGCTGCTGATGATAATAACAGCAACAAATACAGTTCTTAATGTGTGCTGGGTACCAATCTAAATACTTTATATATATTAACTCAACACTTCAACTACCGCATCAGGTAGGTTTTAAGTACAGAAAAGTAATAATAGTCAACATTTATGGAGCTAAATTACTATGTGCCGTGGATTAGTCCACTTGATCTTCAAAACCATTCTCATGAAGGATATTAATAATGACTCCCTTGGGAGGCTGGGAGAATAGCGTGAAGGATTAAAGAAGTACAAATTAGTAGTTGATAGTTGGGCATGGGGAGCATGAAAGAGGGAATGCAGTTAACATTAATATGATGGTTAAGTGGAGGGCCAGGGGAGCGAGGGAGCACTTGGGAGAATCGTTTTATGAACATTATAGAGGTCTCACCAATGTGCTGTATACTTAAAACTAATTTAAATAAATTTATTTTTTAAAAAAAGCAAAAAAAAAGTGACTCCCGTTTTACAGATGAGGAAGTTGATGTTTCACGTATGCAAACTGCTCAAGGTCATGTAGCTATTAAGTAGTGAACTGAGGGTTTGAATCTCAGTAGGCGACCACGGAGCCCACACACTTAATCATCATATTCATGCTTTCCGAATTGCAGGTGGCAACCCATAAAATCAAGTTAGTGAGTTTCAACCAGCACTATTTTATATTGAGATAGAATTTTTAAAAAATCAGACTACCTGACATATACTATTAAATATTGTTTTGTAAACTTTTATTTCATGTCTATACAAACATATTATAAAGATGTGTGTATATAAATGCACATGTTGAAAAGAAAAATATATTTCTTATTGTCATTGTCAAAGATTTTAAAAATCATTGTACTAAAATACATTGGGTGATAAATTTAAAAATAAGTAGCAATGGGTCTAACATTAGAAGTATTTCCTTCGGCATGCCTGCCCTCTGGGAGTCTGGTCACATATCAGACCTCTGCAGTAAAAGAGAATGCTCTGTCAGCTTTTCCTCCACGTTGCGCTGCCTTCGACTAGAATATAGATGACAGTTGGTCAGCATTTGGATGAGATCCAGCCGAGAAATGAGACTGTAGCTTTTACACCATACCGGCAGGGTCCAGTATGATGAATGCTGCCCATCACAAGGACAGCCTTAAAGGTGCAAGTTACAGTAAAGCAAGATAAAGAAGTTTTAAATTATTGATACTGCCCAGAATAGAATGGGTTGCCTTAGGAGATTTTTTCCAATGAGCTGGAGGATATTTGATTGGAGAGATTTAAGCATCTAATGGGATTAAGTAGTTTACCTTGAATTGAAGGTATCTTGCAACCCCTGATATTTTATGATTTGAATAGTGAAAAACGTGTAAAATGAAAGAGACTTCTCTTATCTAATCAAACGAATCTCATTCTGAATATATTTCTCTGAGAATCCTTTTTGAAAACTAGCATTTTCTGGGTAGGATACATATTCTCAAGACCAGTAAATATTAATTCTTAAATTCCAAAATACAAGTTATACAATACTTAATTTGCTCTTTAGAATTCTTCCATATCTTTTTGCAATCTTTGTCTCTGATTAGCAAAATCTTCGGTCCTAGTTGGATTTAATTTATTTTCCATCATCCTAATCCACATCCACTTCCTATACTTCTTACTCAGTTTATCAGTAACACCTCCAGTGCAAACTATGATGAAGGAGTAACATGAAAACCTGTTTCCTTTCACCTAGGCACATTCTTTCCACCATCCATAGGGCCGAGCGCCCCCTGCAGCCAGAGGTCGAAAGGAAATGACATCTCCAGCTGTAGCAACGGTTTCTATGTACAACGCGGCCTGAGGGCGGCGGGGTCAGGCACAGTCGGGATCCAGAAGCTCTACAGATCACCCGGAAACGTGAGGACCCTATGAATCCCCACTCCCTGGCTTTGATCACCAGAACTGGTCGCCGCTGGTGGGCCCCGGGAACCCCCGCGTTGCGAACCCGTCCCAACATCCGCCACCGTCAGCAAAGGGAAACAAAAGGCCCCCAGTTCATTTACCAGACCAGGACATCCAGACCAGGACATCCATCCCACAACGCATTCCCTAACTCGAGTCCCACAGAGCATTTGCTCCTCCGCGTCCTCTGCTCGGAAGGACTGCGATGGGGAGATGAAGTTTACTCTTGGTGGGCAGGTACGCACCTGGTTCTCAGACCCAGCACTGTATCGAGGACGCGGCCGCGGCACACTGACCAGCTGCGCCGCAGGTGCCGAAGGGCGTGTCTCCCAGCCTCAGCACCCTGGGGCGAGCGGCTGACCACCGGGGGCGGGAATTAGGCCCCCTGCAGGATGACTGGATAGTCCCTGACCCGTCATGCCGCTGATTGGCCAACAGGCCCCAGCTTCACCAAGAAAGACGGCCGTTAAGGGGAGAAGGGGAGTGGAACTGTGAGGGGAAGGTCCTTTACTCTTTGCGTTTCAATTCGTTTTAGAATTTAATCCAAAACGCTGTTACTGTTCTGGATTGTCGTACTACCTGCAAGGTAAATTGATATCTATTCCTACTTACAGAAACAATTAAACGTTCAGTATATCTACACTGCAACCTAGAATTACTTCCCTTCATACAAAAGAGTAAATGAAGGACGAGATACGTTCTTCATGTTGAGTGCTGGTTATGAGTCCGAAACTGTACTGGGCACTAGATACAAAAGCAAAGAAGACATACTACAACTCAAAACGAAACAGTAAAGATCATTTGTGAGAAAATGTTATTTCAATTTTATAATTTCACACCAGTTAAACATAAATTATCACCTAATACAGTGCCTAGAACATAATAGTTCAAGAAATGTATTTCTCTTCCCCCTTTGCACTTACAGACCTACAGTCTATTAGCAGGCACTGATAGTGGTAAAAATTTTAGTGCTCAAAATATGACTATGTATTTCCATTGTCAGAGATTGTTAAATTTGCATATTTATAGACACAGATTCAAACTTTAGAGTTATCCTTAGGTTGCTTTACTAAATTGTCTTGAGAAACAGCATCATGTGCCCTGGGGCATGTAAAGGCACTTTACACCTCATTCCAGCCAGCAAACTTCATTCGAAATTATGTCCTAAAACAAAAACACTCAGCATACTGTAACTTTGATCATTTTACTTTCAGCATAGGAAGAAGTACTTTAAATATTTGAGGAAAATAGTTGTAATTCTATATGCCTTGTAACTTCTTCTTACGTTTTCTTCTAGTCATAACTATGTACATATATATTTTTGCAGAATGAACAAGCAGGAATAAAAAACAACTTGAAAGAAAAATATCTAGCAAATGAAAATTATCAGTACACTCTTTATAGAGAGAAGACACTGCATCCAAGAAACAAGGAGATATACATATACAAAGAAAAACTAACCTCTTAGAAATTAAAAATGTTATACCAGAAATGAAAAATCTAAGATAGAAAGTAGTGTTGAAGAAATATTTACAAAGAAAAAAAAATGAGAGTAAATTAGGCCTGAAGTCCAATATAAGATTTAAAAAAAAATCTAAAAAAAATTAACATTAGTAAGTTATTAAATAATTCAAGAAAATTTCCCAGAATTGAAGAGTTTGAGTTTCCAGATTGAAAGTATCCACCAAGTGACCAAAACAGTGGAAGAACATAGACCCATAACAAGGCACATACTGTAAAATTTCAGTACACTGGCAAAGAAAATTCTAAGTTTCTGGAGAGAAAATGGGTCACATACAAAGCATTAATAATAAGAATGGTTTTGGACTTCTCAACAATCCTAGAAGCTGGTAGACAATAAAGCAATCCTTCAAAATCCTGTTCTTGGTGACCAACACCAGAAAAGGTCATTTCAGGCAGATAGAAAAGCATGGAAAAAGGCACAGGCAATAAAGAAAAAAGGCCTGTTACCTGCTTAAGGAACTGCAAACATCTCCTTAAAACCAAAATATTGTGAAGTGGGTTGAAGTGGTGACAGGTAGGAAAGAAGTCAGATTATCAAAGACCAACTATACTACTCCCAATCATTTTATCAAAATGGGGAGCCACTGAGGATTTTCAGCAGAACAGTGCCATGAACTTTGTATTTGAGAAAGAATAATCTGAAGAGTATGGAAGACAGCAAGACTTGGGTAACTAGAAGACTAATTTTAAGGCCAATACAGTCATCTGTGAAAAACCTTAACAGTAATGGTAATAATTAACATAGGCTAACAGGTTGAATTTTAATGGATTATTTTATCTTGCAACAAACCTTTGAGGTAGATGCTATTTTTTCATGCCTATGATACAAACAAGAAAAGTGAACCCTGGCAAAGTCACACTCCTACCTAACAAGGGATATTTATTCTTCTTTAGGACTGGTTATTTCTGATTTCATATACTGTTTTTTAATTTTTCATAACTTCAATCTCTGAAGATAGCTTCAGAGTCTCAAAGCACTGTACTGACCATCATTAATTCCTCTACTCTGACAATGAAGCTGAAGTTAAAAAAAATGAACTGGCCAGTCACTGACCAGCCGGGCTGGTTGTGAAACAATTTCTCATGGACATGTGTGTCCTGAGTCACTGGCAAGCAGTTTAGCAGGGAACAAGTTAACAAATCTTCAAGCTAAGATTTACTGATTTTTATATTTTATAGCAAGCACTGTTTAAAAGAATCTTTTAAAAGCAATTTTATATCTATTTTACCTTTTTTTCCCCCATAAAACTATCAAGGTAGACAAGAGGTTAAATTATTTCCATTTCACAGAAGGAATGGACACAGGACACAAAGACACAAGTGACTAAAATGGTGGTCGTGAGTTGCAATGGTAATACTTTTTCCATTAAATAGCTGTCTAGCTAACTAAATAACAGTATTCAAATAAGCTACTGATATATAAAGGCCCTATGATGAAATCAGAACAGTTAAGAGCAACATTATCAAATGAGTGGGGCTTTGTCATAAAGAGATACTTTATTTATTGGGACTATTTTCTCTAAAAAGGACAAGAAGAAGAAACATGGCAAATTAAAAAATTATAAAAGCCATGGATAAAGGAAAATGTGGACCAAGGAAGCATTCTTTAAAATTTGAGCATGGTAGTACTTTGTATAAATTCACAAAATTTAGTATTCGAAGATGGTAGTGGAAACACAGGTGTTTTTAAAAAATGACATAATTTTTTGAATGTCAGAGACAGACATAGCTATTAATAACATTGGAATATATCTTGTGGAGAGTGGGTTGCAAGCTGACAAGGTCCTCGCAATCTGTGAGGTCACCAAAGGCTGCCCCACCTCTTTGAACCCTCCTAAGAATGGGGATAATCTATGGAAATGCAAACGATTATAGCCGGGTGCGTAGGTTGGGTGGGGATAATCTCATTTCAGCCAGTAAATGTATGCTCTTGTATAAAAGCAACTTGCAAAAATAAAATCAACTCTCTACTCCATCATCGGTGGATAGTGGGCCTCCCCATCCCAACTTTCTATCTTCTTTCTTTTCTCAATCTCCCACCGTTCCCACTCAAGATTATTTTCCATGGCCACGCTGGATGTGGCAAGATTTACCATTTGCTGGACAGGGCAATATTTGATCTTTAAAATGTTAGGGAAGCCAACATGACGTTCTGTAATGATGGAATCCTGGAACAAATGGAGTATCTGAGTATCTGTATCCCTAAGATCAAGATAAAAGTTTTAAAGTTATCCAGTAATCCAGTGTAATCCAATCCCTATTCTTTTTATACCCTAAAAGCAGATTTATTTTTACTTTAATGAATGATTACACTTGAGAACTACACCAGCCTTAATCATATGTTTCATCCATTTCACATGGAGTTGATTTTGCCTTACAGAAAGCAACCATTAGTTTATTTTCCTTTACTCGAGATTTAAAAAATAGACAGGCATTATATACAAAGACAGAAAGGCCTACTTCAAGTAACAAAATGTAACTCAAAATGATGTACGCACACTGACAGTGTGCACATTGGTATACTCTTCAAAATAATGCTGGAGATTTTACAAATAGTTGATGATATAAAACAGCAGTGTTCAAGGAACTTACTTAATTAAATCATTAGAAAGCCCTAGAAAACTTTATTTTTAACAAGAGCCCCAATGATTCTAAGTTTTGATTAAAAGTGTGGTTTGGGGAAGCACTTTCAATGTTGTGTCAGGTGACATATACAATAAAATCAAATTACAAATCATGTAATTGAACAAGAAATAATTTCTTTATGTAAGCTATTAATAGATCCCTCAATACAACATGGTTTTTAAAGTGAAATTGTATATATATAGTTGTATTCATAAATGTAGGTACACTAATCAAAAACTATACAACATTAACAGCAAATCCAAATATAAAGATATTCCTCTGAATTCCATGTTTCATCGAGCATCAAAAACCACCACTGAGTTAAAATGAGTTAAGGACAAAAAAAGTTTTTTAAAAATTATATAAAAGACTTAACACCTCCAAGTCACTTTTTCTTTATAAGCTAGTTTGTTATTTAATTTAAAATGCACAAAACTATAGAATTATTTACTATGACCATTGGAAATGAAGTAAAAAAAACTATTTCAATTTTTATTAGTCTCCATTGCATGAAAGACCAATGCACCAAAAAAAACACTAAAGCAATGTTAAAGGTGATAATTTACTAATTTAAAAAATATTGTCAGTTACTATGTAACAATCTACTATGTCTTTCAATTTGTAAGCCCCACTTTTTCCATTAGGTAACACACGTACACAATATTTATATGTCCTTCTATGATTTAGTTTGTCTATAAACTCAAGCTCAAGAATGAGTACATAAATATATAATTCCTGAAAAACAGACTTATGAAAACCGAAATCAACTAGTATTTAGATTATTTAGTACATGCCTATACACTGGTGTATTGGTCCATAAAAATGCTGATAATGTCTTTTTTTTTGGTTGAATAATCCAAAAGCATTACCATTCTTATCAGAGATTAGTCTTTAACTATCAATCCAAGCATTATTTTTAATTTCCCCCTACCTCATATTTAGAAAGCATAGTTAAAAGGATACATCTTTTAGTCCTTTTCTTGTACATTATTCTGTATCCACATTCTCTGCATCTGATTGGATCCCTGGATTTTATTTCATTTTCTGTGTGACATTCTAGAAAAGAAAACATATTTATTCAATGTCTAAAAGGAAAACATTACAGACAAGCAAATTATCTTAACCATATTTTTCACCCAAAGCACTGAAATATACTCAATCTCAAGGGTATGTTGTTATTACCAACATATTAAGAGTGAAAGAAAAAAATAGCTGTGGTCAATACACTTTTCCTAGGAGAAAAAATGAAATCTTATCGGATTTTTCATGGTTGCTAAAGTGTTCTGCTTTATAACTTTAAAGATGAGTAACTCATTTAATCCAAAGAAATATATAATAATTTCCAAAAAACTGAAGTAAAATATTCTTACTCTATGTAAGTGATACTCTTACCTCCACAGATATATATCATTGGCTGCTGCTTTGGGGGTTGAACGTCCTTCTGGGTATCCATTGTTAGTCTCTGAAATCACAGGCTCAAATATTGAATATCTCAAAGAGACTCCTCACAAATCCAACCAGCCCTTATTTTTCTCAGAGAAAATTAAAAAGGTGTCAGTTCCTAATCTGCATTTTTTCAAAGACTATGCGTAGGTCTAAAGGACAAAACAGAAAACAACGTAATGTGAGCACTTACCCGAACTGGACACAGTACTAAATACTTTACGCGTTATTTCATTTATACAAATAATTTCGTTATTATGTTTACAACAATCCTAGGAGGTGTTACTCTTATTTTACAGACGAAGAAACCAAGCCTTAGAGAAATTCATTGCTTAAGATTATTCACCTATTAGGAGGCAGTAGGATTCAGAACTGACTGCAAAGCTTGCGTTCTCTTTCAGCACAAGTTCTATTTTTCAAAACTTTAGCAGGGGACGACCAAAAAAATTATATCTCTTAATAAGGGGCCATGCGACCCGAAGATAAAAAAAGAATAATGAAATAATTCCCAATTGCTAATCAACCAAACTGAAAGAAACCAGGCAAAGGGCTAACAGCATCGACTCCATCCCCGGCCTCTCCTAACTCTAATCCCATACTAGACTTTTTTAACCCACGTGTCTTTCCAGTTTTGACCCAAATGCCCGCGCTCAAATCCCAACCTGTCAATTCCCTACTCACTTGACGCGGAGAAACGCCTCACTCTGCGTTTCCAGATTGCGGCCCGTCGCTGTGTCGCAACCAACTTCCGGCGCTAGCATATGACGCAAGTGGAGTCTCCGCCCTTATTTATCCGGGCGGAGGAACCAGGTTTGGGCACAGACGGAAAGGCGAAACTTTTGCGTGTTAAAGTGTGAGCGAAAGTGCTCGTTTCTCCTCAGCAATTTTCATTTTTCAGGAAGTAGAGCATTTTAATAGCTCCTCAAGCCGAAATAGGTTTGTTTTTCTAACTATTGAAGTCAGTAGAAAGTAACACTTTTTCAGGTGCGCAAAGAGAGGCCAAAATTCCAAGTGTCCGTGGAATTCTAGACTAACCGTTATCCCAAGGAACATAGAATCAACTTCACTGCTAATTTTCACGTAGAAAAATGCTGTTCAGATTGTTTTTAAAATCATTTTATATCTGCGCTGGGGCATTGGAGCAGCTGCTCCCTATCTTCTGCATAATTTTGTTTTTGCTTTTCGACCTTTTTTCTCTGTTAGAACTCTTGCCATCCCTCTCACCCGCTACTTTTGTTCGTTTTAAAGCGAAGGCTGGAGTGAAGGCAACTATATCAATTATGCATAAAGCTAAGAGATTTTGGTAGCGGTAGCTGTCCACTGACCCTCCTTCAGTCCGTATATTCCTAGAAGAACAAAACTACCCGCCCAGTGGGTATGTGCTTTTTCAGAGATCAAAATTTAAGTGACTATCAGTTGAGTTCACAACATGTACATTTGTTTTCTTCTTTCACAGCAGATATTTTACTTAGAAGAAAATGAAGTTATTAAAGTTTATTAAAAATTTAATCAGTTGTTAATAACTATTATAGTTATCTGAAGAAGCAGGTTTCTTTCTCCCCTTTATTCATTATGTCTTTGCTTTCTTCTTAAGCAGGCTATACTGCTTTTTCTGTCTTCCAGCAACTTGAGAACTTTGAGCTTCATCTTTCAGTTCTAGAAGGAGTTCCAACTAGTTGTACCTTCACGGACCCTCTTAAGAGATTTAACTTGATTTTCCCAGTCTTTCTAGCTGCCAATTTTTACATTTCTAGAGAAATAATAGCAGAGTTTCTTGCTTCTTTCTCTACAGACAGGCTAACATACATAGAGCATTAATATTTTGACCATCAGCTCTCTTTTAAAGCACTCTCCTTTCAACCAAAGAGGAGTAATCCAATGATGGTCAAATAAACTTCCCTACAAGAAATATAAGACAAAACCATAATCATAAGATGCAGTGACCCAGAAAGTATAACTTTAATCATTGCAAGCTGTCCTGGATTCCGACTCTCTAGTTGAGGTAACAAGATGATTTGGGCACATAACATAGTCTGTGGAGATCAGAATGGATGTTACATGTAGAATACAAATGGGACCTGAACCCTACAGAGGGGTAATGACAAGAGGAAGCAAGAAAATCCAAAATTTCAACAAGAGTTTATGTTGATGCTAGTCTAGATCCAATACTCTCTTTCCTTCTGCAGGAACCAGTAGTTGTAGGATTTCTATGAAGCATAGTCAGTGGAAGCTATTATCAATGGTCTCAGCAAACTTTTCTTGAGCACTTACTGCATGCCAGACATCATTGCATTCCCTCTTAATGAGAACATGTGTTTTTCCATCTTGGATACTAGTGCTTTTTAACTCCTGGTAATATGGTTATGGAGGTGCAACTTGCTATATTCTTTCCCGAATCTCTGTTCTTATTTGTACATAATTGTTTGTCTGCATAGCTTGAATACCATGATGACTGAAAAAGTCTTCCATTCTGTTTTATTGGATGGCCCCCAAAAGAAACATTAGATCTTGTAGAAAATGAATGCGTTTTAGTATTCTGAGGTCAATAATGGGATGACACCTAATCCAGAAAAGGAAGCAAAAAGGCCAAAGACTGTGGTAGGTAAAAAGTAGGAAAATGAGGCCAGTGGCTTAAATTTGGGGTATATGAGTAAAGCCAGGACAAGCTATGTGTAATTAGGTGTCATTTTGCCCTTTTGGGGGTGTAAAAATTATTCTTTGAATGATAGAAGGAAGTTTTAATATGCTCTTTCACTCCAGTTGTAATAAAGCATCTAAAGAAAAATTAACAAAGAGAAAAGGGAAACTATTAAATAGTGATTGGGGTTGTGTAGATTTTATTTAACCATGGGCAAAATTCCCCACCCTGTTTACGTTATGGTGGGAGTGAGGAGCACTGTTAAACAAAATAAGCAGATAATATGGTATTTTAGAAGGTGATAAATTACATGGAGAAAATTCAGCAGAGAAGGAGGATTGCAAATGCAGGGCAGGGAAGGGGTGTAATGGCTGTAGTAGAGATTTGAAGAGCTAGAGAGAACACTGCTCTGAGTGTGTGTGTGTTGCCAGGGGGAAGGCTTCAGGGAGGTGCTATTTTGAGAAATGTGTAATCCACCAATTCCTTAAGTCCTACAGGTATCTCAACAACCACATACTGCATTTATCTTATTTCCTCACAAACCTCTGCTCTTCACTCTCTCATCCCACATCCCATGCAGTTGACTCTGTCAAGTCCAGGGTCTTCACCCCCACTACCTTCCAGAGTAATAGAGTAGCTTCCTACGAGGCCTCCTTGCAGCCACCTTCACCTCTTTCTTCTGTCCTTCATTCTGCCACCAAAGTGGTCTTCCTAAAATGCCCTACATTGCCTATAGGATAAACTTCAGCCCTCTGACATGGATCCAAAACTCTCCATGACCTGGCTGCTTCTTAAGAATTTTTTTTTTTCCCCTTTCCTCAAACAAGTCTTAGTTTCCAGCTATAACAAATTACTTATAGTTTCTCTAATGTGCCCAACCGTTTCAATTTTCCTGCTGGTGCACATTTTGATTTTGGAATCACCTGTTAATTCCCTTTTAAATTGCCACTTGTCCTTCAAAATCCACTTCACTTCATGGTCTTTACGAAGTTAGCTCGGCCTCCTCATTCCTCTTTCCTTTGTATTACCACTATTCCCCTATTATAGCACGTTTACCAGTGAGCCCCTTAGGGTAGTAACTGTGCTTTACTCGTCTTTGCATTCCCAGTACCTAGACCAGTAATTGGCACGTAGCCGGTGGTTATTAATAGTGAATTTGATCTGAGATATATGGAATTTTGATGACTAAGGGGCAATCAGATGGAGACATGTCCAATCGGAGGAGAGCGGTGATAGCAGCTGCTAAAGTAATGGCTGAAGCTCTGTAGAACCTTTCTATATAATGCTCTCCAAAGTGAGAAGTGGGAGAGGAAGAGCCAATCAGATTGAGAAGCCCTCCGGGTGCTTTGTGGGGGGTGGGGAAGGGGCTGGAAGTTGTGCGAAAGAGAGGACGAGACCCCCTC